CGGACCCGGGAATCCCGGCCGGTGGGCGGCAGCGGCCAGGCAACCGGTGTTAAGGGGAGAGGAGGGCGCTAAGTGAGCCTACCGGGGGCGGGGGCCGACGGCTACTTGGCGCGGTGTGAGCCTTGCCCAGAACGCCGGAGATTGACAGGTGGGGAGGGGGCGGCCCTGTCAGATCGGGGGAAATTTAGGCTCGGCGCAGAGACCTGCAGAGTCTGCTGTTTGCTTACATGGCGTGGGCAGAGAAGGGTCTGCTGTGGAAAGCCAATGGGTTGTGGCGCAGGGATAACAAGGAGCTCCAGAGATGGAGTTGTACAAGGCGGTACGTGATTGCCAGGGTATAGTCCCAAAAAGACTCAGTTCAGCTATCTTACTCCTGTTCCACTTGATGGAATTACTGCGTTTCTATGTACTTGCATGTATGTGTATGTATCATATATACATGTACACGTATTTTCATGTAGTTATATACATGTATGCATACTTATTGCATGCATGTAGACTCAGGCATACACGTACTTGTCCCCAATGAGAATCAGTCATGTGTTTCAGCACTTAGATGTTTGTGGCTCCAGCGGTTGAGTGCGTAGTACAGACCTCCAGGATAGCAGTCAGTCTCCTGTGAAAAGTGTGGGGGAAAAGGACATTGAGCTAGGAGAGAGGGTGCAGAAGGGCTGAATGCCTTGGGTTACTGGTGGCTCTGAGCTGGACCCGGAAGAATCTCTAGCTGTCAACCAAGTTGGGTTTAGGTGGGATCATTGCAGATAAAGGAAATCCAGTCACAGACAAAGGGTTTGGAGGAGACTTTTCCAAGAGGGACAGTCATATATGATGAGTGGCCAGTGAGGCTTGCCAGTAGCCAGCAAAGGCCTTGGTGGGGAGCATCACATCTAGGGTCCTGGGCTTTGATACCCTTGCATCCCCTGCCCTGCCCCATGGGGATCAAATTCAGGGCTTTGTGCTTACTAGGCAGGCGCAGCGACCCTCGCATCTTTTTAAGCAAAGAATATCTCTTCCTATCCCTCCCTTCCTCCACTCCCCAGCACAAGCCTCCTTCAGTTGTTTGCATTTCTTGATAAAGGGCAAGTACAAAACCAAGCTTTTCTCTCTTCCACTCCCACACATGTCATTACCAGATCTGACACTTCTACTGTTTCAGTAGCTTCAAACCTTCAACCCTACCTCCATTCCCACCTTCAATACCTTAACTCAGACATTCCCTCTTCTGTGGTAACTTTATCTCCCATCTTTGCCAGCCTGTCATACCTAGTGCTCTACAGACACCTTCTTGCATGCTGATCCACTGTCCTATGATCCGGACCCTGTGGTGCCCTCAGGATAGATGGGCAAGTACTCTGGCTGCCCATCCTCCCCCTCCTATGAAATGCTTAGGCCCAGGCCTAGAACCCACACTCCCTGAACCTACATGACAGAGAGCCCTGTGCTCAATATAACTCACTTACTAAATTCTGCATGTTATGCACATGCCGACTGCTCCTGTGACTTTTCTAACTTAATCCTAACAGTAGCTTTCTGAGGTACAGACACTACTAGTGCCCTTCTATAGTTGAGGAGACTAAGACTTGGAAAAGGAAGTTATTTGCCAGAGCTCTATCTCTAGAGGCAAGATGCAAACTCAGAAGAACTGTTGGCATTTCAGAAATATCTTTGGAAATACAGATCAGATTTGGCTTTAGAATCAAATAAAATTCTCTGGTGCTAGCTAATAAATTAAACAGGGCAGGAGAGACCATAGAGAAGCCAGTGATCAGGAAAGACAGGAACATGGGCCTCAGGAATAAGTAGCCAAGGCAGGTCAGGAAAGAAAGAATGGATTTGTAGATTTTGAAGGTACATTTTAGAAAGATTTGTTTAATTCAGTAGTTCTTTGCTGGAAGTGCATAAAGACAAGCGGGGCTTCCCCTCAGGGGCACACGTCCTCAGAGCTAAGCCACAGTCCAGAAGGAAAGTGCTGCCACGGTGGTTGATTAATTCCAAGTAATGTGCTAGTGTCTCTAGTTCTCGAGACAGACTTCCAAAGAAGTCACAAAAATTATGGAAAAGGATAATTACTTAACAGCCTTGCCAAAGAATTTTTACCAGACTGCCACATTTAGTACTGCCTTATACATTAACTGAAATATTTCTTTACCAGCCTTTAAAAGCTTTGAGTTATAACATTGTGTCCAGTGGCCTTTGACATCAGTAACCCTTCATGTGGGGCATTGGCGCTCTTGGCACATTATTCTTTTTCAGTAAGCTCCTTCCTGCCCACAGTCTGATTTGAGTTAGTCTTGATTTCTTTCAGAACATGGGCCTGTGAACTGGGCTGGTTTTCTTGGCCAAATGGATAGTGGAGCGTGGATGAAGGTATGTGGCGGGAAGATCGCCGTGCCCCTCTGAGGTGGATGCCAGGCCAAACTTGAGAGCTACCCAGGAGGCCCCACATTACGTGGTGCCCCCTGACACCTGTGATCACAGAGTATCCCAAGGCTTTCAGAATACCTGGCAGTTCACCAGCCCGCTGAGGATGGGGACAGTGTGTCACTCACCTAAATGTCCATGCAGCCTCTGTGCCCCCTAGTTATCCGTGCTGCTCTGTGCTTCAGATGGTGCTGGGACACAGGAGACTCAGATGTTCACATACTGAATCTGGCTACTATTTCTGAGCAAAGTCTTGCTGACTCATAGCTGTGTGTTAGTACCTTGTGTGTTCCTCAGAGAGTCACACAAAGGAGATGGCATTCTTACTGACATGTGTGGGTTCAGTTGACAGGCGGGTCGAATCTGAAGAGTCGGGCGATGAGGAGGGGAAGAAGCACACCAGTGGCATCGTGGCAGACCTCAGTGAGCAGAGCCTGAAGGATGGAGTGGAGCGGGGTGAGGAGGACCCAGAAGGTACCACATTGAGAGCCTCCACCCTGGATAGAGGGAAGCAAGCCAGGCTGGGTAGTGGTGCTGTGTTGGTCTCAGAAAGGGCCACTCTGCTCCTCAGAGGCCCTCGGTGGGCTGGGGCAGGTGGGTATGCTCACCAGGCACAGCCTCCTCCTAGGGGGCTCCGCTGTCCAACTGACATGCTTATGGCACTTGCAAGAGGGGCGCAGTTGTGCCTAATTCTGCTAAAGGCAAGTAGCACTGCTGATCATATTGGCACAAGTTTCTTATCTAGGATAGAACCAGAAAATGGGTCTTCAACCTTGGGTTCAGAAAGAGTCGACATAAAAAAGATGGCTGGTGACTGCCCCTGCATCCTGCCACAGTAAGAGTAATGCTTAATATCTTCCAGAAATCTCTTCTGATCCTACTTTGTCATTTGTATGGCCTGAGGATCAACTTTTCAAGTATATAGTTGTTAAGATCATCTTATGTGGAAATAGTCAAACCCCCATTAATGACCCGCACCTTTCTGTTTCTTTGCTTAGAAAATCAATTTTCAAGCCAGGCATAGCACCTTTAAGCCCAGCATTCTGAGAGGCTGAGGCAGAAAGATTGTAAATTCATGCCCCACCAAAGAGAAGAAAACTTACATGAAAAAGGAAAGTTAGAGACAATAGTGTTTGCCTTAATTCTAGCTACTCAGAAGCCTGAGACAGATTGCAAGTTCAAAGCCACCCTGAGCAATTTAATGAGACCTTGTCTCAAAATTTAAAAAAGGCTGGGAGGAGCATAGCTCAGTGTTAGAGCACTTGCTTAGAAGCCTAGCGTGCTGGAGACTCTGGGCTTAATCCTCAGTACCACACCAAAAAGAAGAAAGGTAACATTACCGAGGGTCTCCATGAACAGCAGGCTTGAGAGAGACCTCTTCCTTCTGCATTTTCCAGATTTGTGTACAGTGTATGAATTCTTCAGATATTTGTAATTATGCATTACCCTTACAAAAATAAGTTTGTAAAAAAAGCTAATTTTTAAAATAGCTCTGTGCCGCCTGTGCCAGCAAGGATGATTGGTAACTATGGCAACCAAATTTTAAAGCAGAAGCAGCACAGAAGCACTGTCACATTTGGTTTGGGGTTCTGGAAGTGTCATGGGTGTTGTCATCTGACACAGTCACAGGCAGGCTCAGGTCTGTGCTGCTGAGACATCAGGATCTAGGGTGCACTAGGGACTTGGGGTGGCAGGGTTCTGGGTTTCCTTCCTCTGGCTGGTGTCAAAATGGAGCACTGGTCCTGATAGGAACCAGATAAGGGAAGAGATTCCTTGTGCTTGCCCAAGGACACTTGCTGTAGTCCAGCTTGCCTGACTCTAGTCTCTTTCTTCCAGATGCTAGTTGATTATAGGTTCTCAGGGAACTCACATTTCTAACGTTTGAGAAATTGGGACCAGCTTCTACTTGTACTTAAATTTTATCTTTAAACAAAACCAATTCAAACACGTTTACTGTTATCTTCTACTTATTTCCCCTAACTCATTTTAAAAATGTGATCATGATGCATTTGGAAGCGCATTCTAGTACATTTCCTCTACGTTAGGCTCACATCTCAGGAAGGGGAGGACTGGCCTTGCTAGGTGGACTGCACATAGCAGTACCTGATCATGGGCCCCCAGTTCCTCTGCTGCCCACTGTCACTCTGTGGTGTTCTGGTATAGTCTCCAAGTGTCCTGGTTTGGGCACCAACTGGCTGGGCACCCTGACTTAATTGTAGGGCCTCTTGCCACAACTTCCTGAGCTCTAGGACAATGCATTAGTGCTCTCTTTTGGTGGGAGAATTTGGGCCTGTCTCTTCGTTTATCTCAGATTATTTTATTCAATTCTTAGGTCAGTTGGTACCCTGTGAAGTTACAGGTAAACTGTAACTATTTTTATTCACATGGCCACTATTGATCATTATAGAAAAGGCATCATGAAAAGATAGTGAAGTGACTCAGCCAAGCCCAGCCGCACTTCTTGGTTAAACTAGACCCATATCAAGTGGTATCTGAGTCCTCCAGCCGAGGAACAGGCTGCCAGTACCTACTCTGCTTATCCACAGGGAACCAGTGGTAGACCTGTGAGACAGACACAGAAGAGCAAGCCCTGGTAAAATCCTCACAGTGACAGAAAATGCAGAAGAGAGAGCATCCTGGGGATAGAATTTAGAACCCAGACTGAGAGAAGCACTACAAGACAGGCAGCCCACTTTCTGCCAACAAAAAGTTGCAAGGGGAAAAAAAAAGGTCCTAAGAAAATGCCATGCAAAGCCAAGCACTCCGGAGGCTGAGGCAGGAGGCTCAAGTTTGAGATGAGCATGTGCTACGTAGTGAATTCAAGGCCAGTCTGAACTATACATTGAGACCCTGTCTCAAGAAAAAAGAGAGAAAAAGAAAAGTACCATCCAGTCACAAAATATAACCTTATTTGGATCTTACCTTAAGCAAACAAAAAAAGTTTAAGATACTTGAGGAATGAGCAATGGCTGGATATTTAGTGATATGGAGAAAATACTGGTACTCTTAAAGTGTGGTAAGAGTGTGCACGCATTTGTGTATGCACACGTGTGTACATGCAAATTGTGCACCTGCACATGCGTGTGTCTACATGCGCAGTGTCTCTGTTTCCGCTCCTTCGGGTTGATTTGGCTCTGGTGAGAGAGAGGAGGGGCTGCTGGCGAGAGGCTGTGAACATGGTGGTGGGAGCAATTCCCAGCCCCATGTGGAGGAAGCAGCTCTCTGGGTGGAGAGTCCTGTGGACTTGCAGTGGGCCTCTGCGGAAATTAGTTCACCAGTCTCCCAGTTGAGAAGTGTTCTTAAATTATTCATCGAGGCTCTTTGATCCTATCTGTTGAGCTGTGCTTCATTTTATTTTGCTTTTTGCAGAGAAAAGCATTTGTAGATGCTGGGCCAGTTTCCAAAGCAGTAAAAGGCACATCCTGGAACATGTGATATGCCCAGCATGATGTGTATTCAGATGGCCTGATTTATTGCCACGGATGAGAAGGGGAAGGGCTGGCCGGAAGTGGGGGCAGCCTCGCAATGGTGCTTCCACTCCAGCAGGGAGTGGGCTCATGACACAGAGGCAGCCTCCTTGCCCTCCCTTCTGCCAGCAGCTTCAAGGTGCATCTCCCTTCTTGAGACGCTCAGAGGCACAGATGGAAGTTTAGAAACCTTTGTCCATCGCTGAATTCAGGAACTCAGATTGCTTGAAGCACCCTTATCAAGTCTTGCTGAGTTTGCACTGCCAGCCAAATCTCAGACCTGGGGCCACTGCCTCCTGTTGAGTCCTGAATGAGTTTCTTCCTACTTTTTTTCAGAGGAGCATGAGCTGGCTGTGGACATGGAAACCATTAGCCTGGACCGAGATGCAGAGGTAATGTTACTTGCTCTGCCCAGCCTTGGGGTGTGTGGTGACAGGCCACCTCACCATCAGGTTATATTTTATGGAGGTGACTCCTTAAGTGATTTCCCAAGAGAAGTTGCCTAAGCTTCCCTTGGTTGGGTCAGTTCCCATGTTCTTGTTTTTAATCCCAGTGATTGAAATTCTGTGGGGATTAGAAGGCAAGTGTGATACCTCTGGCTCATAAATCACATTCATAGGCCCATATTACGTTATGTGTCCTGGGTCTTCCCATTTCCAACCCCTGAAGAGTCATACGTGTGTGGCCAGTGGCCAGGGCTGAGTGATGCCTGGCTGGGGTCCTCTCCTAAGCCCACAACACAAACTGGTAATCATGTAACAGTGCCTGTCAGCCAAGCTGGGCTTGCTTTTATGCTCTGGGAGTGGCAGGTGAGAAGAAGCTGTCACAATCATTTGCACAAAATGAATACAAGTCATAGCTAAACCGAAGAATGCCTGCCAGCTCTCCCTGCGATACTCACTTCTCAGCCACAGATGTGGTCTGGCTGAGCCACAGGTCCACCCTGTCCTCCCCCACCTGTGGTCCAGGGAACAGGCCTCAGGTATTGGTTTTCTCTGCATTTCAGGATGTCGATCTAAATCACTACCGCATTGGGAAAATTGAAGGCTTTGAGGTGCTGAAGAAAGTGAAGGTGAGAGGGATTCTGTCCTTGTACACCTGGTGACATGGAGATTGTGCACAGCCCTTATCCCTGTCCTGTACAAGGCAAAAACCTGTGTGGAGACCTTGCCACCCATCTGTCTGTCTGGGATGTGCTCAGGGTTTGGCAGCAGTAGAGGAGGAGCCCACAAGACTCCTGGAACTTGGTCAGCCTCAGGGCTAAGCACTAGGCCAACACGGTGTGCAGTGCTCACTCCTGTAGTTGGGTCTGCTTCTCAGCATGGAGTCCACAGGGTTCTTGGGTTCTGCCAGGATGAGGCTCCCTCCAGCCCTGCTCAGCACCTCCCTGCCCTCCCAGGTTCTCCCCAAGGGCCTCTGCCTGACCTCCAGTGGGACAGGGAAACTCCAGCTGTGTGCCTTTGCCCCTCTCTGTTAAAGGCCAGTGCAGGAGAATGAAGCACATCCTCCTTGGGGGAAGATGGCCCTGTGTCCCTGCATCGCCCATGCCAACCTCCCTCTTCCCATCCCCAGACCCTCTGCCTCCGTCAGAACTTAATTAAGTGCATTGAGAACCTAGAGGAGCTACAGAGCCTTCGTGAGCTGGATCTCTACGATAACCAGATCAAAAAGATTGAGAACCTGGAGGCGCTGACCGAGTTGGAGTGAGTTGGGAGACTGGGCTGGGGGTGGCCAGGCTCCCTGCAGCACCACCCTTCTGGGTCTAGCCCTCCTGAGGCCCATCCTGTCACAGGATCCTGCATCACACCTGGCTCTAAAAGGGTGTAGCAGCTTCACGTTGGCCATCAGCTTGCTGGACACACTCACTTAGAAGGCTGAAACTTTTCTGGCTAGGTTCCGTTCTGCAGAATCATAGAGCAAAGCCGGGTGTGGTGGCACACAACTATAATCCCAGCACTCGGGAGGCTGTGGCAGGAGGATCGCTGTGAGTTCAAGACCAGCCTGGGCTACATAGTGAGTTCCAGGTCAGTCTCAACTACGTAGTGAGACCCTGTCTCAAAAAACCAAAAAAAAAATAATAATAATAATAATAGAGCAAAATCATGGAGAAGCTAGGCATGATGGCACACTCCTATAATCCTGGCTACTCAGGAGGCTGAGGCAGGAGCATTGCAAGTTCAAATCCTGAGCAATTTAACTGACCCTATCTCAAAATAAGAATAAATTTATAAGGGAAGGGCAGGCATGATGGTACATGCCTATAATCACCATGCACTGGAAGACTGAGAAAGGAGGGTCATAAATTCAACCTGGCCTGGACAACTTACTGATTTAGTGAGAACCTGTCTCAAAATACAAAATAAATAAAAAAGAGTTGGGCATGTAGCTTAGTGTGAAAGCCCTGGGTTCAATTTGCAGTTATGCCAAAAAAAAAAAAAATGATGTAGCAAGTGGTAGAATGCTTACCCAGTATGTGTGAGACCCTGAGTTCAATCCCCAGTACTGCCAAAAAAGAAAAGGTAATTTGGATACATGTTCCTCTTTTTTTTTTCCCAGTACTACACTAGGGATGAACCAGGGCTTCACATGTGCTAGGCAAATACTCTACCACTAAGCTGCAGCACCCTCTTTTTCTTTTTTTTTTTTTGAGACATGGTCTCACAAAGTTGCTCAGGACGGCCTTGAATTTGCAGTCCTCCTGCCTCAACATCTGAAATAGCTGGGATTACAGGCCTGTGCCATCACACCCAGCTGTTTGTTAATTCAACATGTCTCAAGTGCCTTCATTGTGCGCTCCCCGGTTCTAGGTCCTGCCATGGACACAGGTGTGAATGGAACCTGGCTCCTGTCCTGAATACAGCCCTGGGAGGCAGAGTGCACACCACCCTGGGGTTCGCCACGCTCCCGGCAGTGTCCCAGTCCCACCTGACAGCGAGTGTGGTCAGATCGCATCCCACAGTGACTGCAGCCACACTGTGTCTAGGCTAGCTTAAGTTCTGACTCCTCCTACAATTGGTGTTCATTTAAATGCATTGTTTTGGGGCCCAAGATTTAGCTCATTGGTGCCGCCCCATCTCACAAGTACAAAGAACCAAGTTTGATCCCTGCTATCAAAAAATAAATAGGACTGGTCAGGGGATTTAGCTCAGTGGTTCTGCCAACTGCCTCACAGGCGCAAAGTCCCAAGGTCAATCCCTGGTATAGATAGATAGATAGATAGATAGATAGATAGATAGATAGATAGATAGGACCGGGGATTTAGCTCAGTGGTTCCACTGCCTGCCTCACAAGCACAAGGTCCTAAGTTTGATCTCTGGTACCATAAATAAATAAATAAATAAATGAATGAATGAATGAATGAATGAATGAATAAATAAATGCATACATACATACATACATACATACAATGTTTTGCTTGTTTCTAGGATTCTAGATATTTCTTTTAATCTGCTGAGAAACATTGAAGGGATTGACCAGTTGACTCAGCTGAAAAAACTATTCTTGGTCAACAATAAAATCAGTAAAATTGAGAACATAAGTAACTTACATCAGCTGCAGATGCTGGAGCTGGGATCCAACCGCATCCGGGTAGGTGCACGGGCACCGGGCATGTGACCATAAGCAGTGTGTGTAAGATGTAGGCCTGGCTGGTTTTTTCTCACGATGCCATGGTGTTTCAGAAATGAGATTATTTTTAAGGAAAAATGCTACCCAGCTGTCAGTGTCAAGAATGTGTGCCCAAGGCCAGGGATTTAGCTCAGTGCCGCTGCCTGCCTCGCAAGCGCAAGGACATGAGTTCGACCCCCAGACCAAAAAGAAAAAAAAAAGAATGTGTTTCCTACAGAGGGGCCTGGCCTGTGTTGCTCTCCGCCTGTCCTGTCCCCAACTGTGCTATGCTGTGGTGAGTCCAGGGCCTGTCAGCCCCAGCACTGTGCCTCTGAGCTTCCAGAGAAGCAAGGTCGAGTTGATTGGAGATCACTGTGAAGTCACTGCCATCTGATGGAGGGGAACCTCAGGGCTCACGTGAGACCTGACACGGGTGGGCCTGCCAGGCAAAGCACAGGTAGCTCCTCCTGGGCAGAAGTGAGGACTGTTAGCCAGAAGACCTGAGCCCACATCTTCTCACCTCACTGTGGTCGCAGCTGCTGCTGGGCTCCTGGCCATGTTTAGCAGTGGGAGCAGTTTCTGAGCACATTGCACCCACTCGGAACTGGCAGCACCCGCTGTGTGGGGTCTGGAAGTGTGACAGCACACCGTGTAGTCTTTTGAAGGTCACTGTTAGAGATCTCACAGCCAAACAGCGAAGCAGCACAGTCACAGCCAGAGGACATCCAAATGCCAGCCTCTCACTGAGTTTGTCCAGAGCATCCCAGGAGGCTCGTCACACCTGACCACAGCTGTGGCTCCAAGGGTGCCCCGTCCTTTACAATGGGCAGAATGAGCCACACTCCCCTTGCCAGCTGATGTGCTGCCTGTGAGCATCCTGGTCTGATTTTGTCTGTGAAGTGTCAGCTTGCTGTGAGAGAGGGAGGGAAACAGGCCGCGTCAATACACTGCGACTCACCTGCCATGGGAAAGGCGCTGAGAAGGCTGCACAGAGGCCCCCACGGTGGCAGTAAGGAGAAGGCATGCATGAGGGTACCGCTCCCAGGTCCGACAGACATGCTGCCTCAGGACGGAATGTGGGAAATCCACTAGTCCACGGTTTTCTAACTGTGTTCCCCAAAACTCTGGGGCTCTGAAAACAAGGAGCCCAGGTCAGGTCTTGGGCCTTCCACTGGCTTCCTATTTTCTTCTTTTAAGTGGGACAGCATTGGAAATCTCTAGAGCAGGTCAGGAAGTTGCCCAAGCTCCCAGAGGTCGAGTCCAGATGGCTCCTGCTCCAGGGCCTACCCTGTACCTGGCTCAGCCACTGCTGTCCTGACAGTTATTCCATCCTTTTCACAGGCAATTGAAAATATTGACACTTTAACCAACCTCGAGAGTTTGTTTTTGGGGAAAAACAAAATTACTAAGCTTCAGAACCTGGATGCCCTCACCAACCTGACAGTCCTCAGTATGCAGGTACTGACCTCCTCAGCCCTGCCCCCAGAGCTGACGTGTGAGCCACCACCCCTAACAATAGTCCTTTGTCCCCCACTGCATCCCAAGGGTCACATCATTTCACATGGAGAAAACGGTAACATCATCCACACAAGATTCTATTCTTTTTTATATCATTTTTTAAAATTTATTGTTTTTAAATGTCATTGTTTTGGGTTATGTCCCTTTTCCCATTGAAAGGTGGCTGAGTAGAAGGCTTTCACCATGGGACTCTGAGGGGTGAGCTTTCCTGGTCCTTCTGTCAGCTACAGTGCTCATGCACTGGGTGCTTGGGCTCCACTTCTCTCTAGTGTTGGAAGGAAACTAGTGGGATCAGACCTCTGAGGGAATGTGATGGAGCCCTGGGGGCAACCTGGCATAGTGAGTCCCGCCAGCCACCAGTAGGACCAGCGGACATGGGAAACCACTCACCCTGAATGAGCAATGTCTTGTAGACTGCTTTGAAAAAGAAGTTCTTAAGGTCTGATTTCAGATATGTCTTATAAAAATGAGGCCTTATTTCAAAATATTCAATAATTTTGACATTTTAAAATTGTTCAATTAAGCCAGGCATAGTGGTGCACACCTGTGATGCCAGAATTCAGGACGCTCAGGCAAGAGGATAGCTGTGAGTTCAAGGCCAGCTTGGGCTACATAGCAAGACCCTATCTCAAAACAAACAAATGAAAATGTGGCTGGATTATTCCTGGTAGAGCAGACTTGAAAGTTCTGTCCCCTTTTTTGCACAGGCCCCACTCTGGTAGGTTCTAGATGAAAGCCCTGTTCTTAGGGCCCTTCAGGATAGTCAGAAGCCCCAGCTCCCACATGCCCTCTGGTCCTCCCTCTGTGCAACCCTGACGTGTGGCCTCCCCTCTTGCAGAGCAACCGGCTGACAAAGATCGAGGGTCTGCAGAACCTGGTGAACCTGCGGGAGCTGTACCTCAGCCACAATGGCATCGAGGTCATCGAGGGTCTGGAAAACAATGTAAGACTCGGTGTGGGGCAGCAAGGGTTCTGGACTGGGGGCAGGAGAGCTCACTTCCCCCACAGCTGGCCTTAGGTAGACCTTGCCCCGAGGGGTGTATCCTGGCGGCATCAGGGGCGAATGCAGGATGCCAGCCATGGTCCACAGGTGCCCTCCTGTGCAGGGTACTGTGCACATCCATGGGGTGCTGCGGCCCTTTGGAAGGTCTCGGGACCCCTGCCTACCCTGTCCTGCAAGGGTTGCTGACCTCCCAGATGTCCCCGCCACTGAACTTACTGCCCTACTTCCTGGCATGGGGGCGGGGGATACAGCTGCTCTGAAGGAGGCAGAAGTCCTGCTCCCCAGCCCCTTTCCCTGGAGTTTGGAGGTCTCTTCCTCTCGATGCTTGGCCCAGTGTTCAGGAAGAACCTCTGCTTGGGCAGGACCCAAAGCCCAGAGCCCAGGCTCCCTTCCTCACAGCAGCCTCCAGCTCGGCCTTTTACTCAGTGCAGGGTTTAAGACAAATAAAGTACTTTTCTCATTCAGTTTTACTGGGTTTTTGTTTTTGTTTTTGTTTTTCTGTTTTGTTTAACTGCCAGCAAGATAACCAGATGGGTTACTCTTTGTTACCATGGACAAAGCATTTCAATCTCAGTACAGGCTCCTTTGGCCTTTGTGCCTCTGAGCCTCTGCTCCGTGGCCTCATTGCCATTAGGAATTTGTTCTGGAAGAGATACCACAGTCTGAACTTCATTTTATCAGAATCTGTGGAAAATTAGGAAAATTAGATTTGCATGTGAGAAGTTTGGTCACTTTGCTCCAGCCTCACGTTGGGATTAAGAATTTATAAAACCAGGTGCTCACACCTGCTGAGAATGAGTTGAGGTGCCTCGGTGGCTGTGGCTGGCGCAGGACACTGTGCGGAAGGCCATGGGGTGACGGTGTGCACTGGCAGCCCCGCCCCAGGAGCCCAGTGCCCCCTGGGAGGTAGACACCCCCACAGCAGGCTCTGACAGGCAGAGCAGGCCTCAGGCGAAGGACAATCCTCAGTGCAGATCTGCCGGTCTGATCGATTGCTGCGCTAGGTCAAGGTTAAAACACCTGGTCATTCCTGGCCTCTGAAACAAAACAGAAAAAGCCCACTGTTGGAGACAGTTACGTTATTGAAACATTCATGACTATCAAATGTGAGTGTTTCTTCTGGAATCTTTTCCTACCAGAAATCAAAACTTTACCTATTTTCTTGCATGTTTTACTTCTTAATGGATTAAGAATGTATTTCTGTGGTGGGAAGTGAGCAGGTGATGTCCCTTTTCCCATGTGGCAAGTGCAATGGCTCCTCCCCACCCCAAACACCTGTCGTGCTTGGAGCTGGCTCTGCCCATCCCTCCCATGGTCCGGAACACGCTGGCCCCTGACCAGATGATACTTGGTGGCATAGGATGCCCACCCTGCTCTGTTCCTTTTTCCTTTTCATTTTTTAAAAGTAGTTTACTGGTTTGCTTTTAGATGAGCTTTGAGACAGGTCTAGCTCCTCCTAAAATCCACAAAAGGAGTCATGAGTATGTGAGTAAGCCCCTGACTGGGAAGTCAGGGTCCGGGCCTGACAGCCTGTGCTATCCCTTTGCCTCAGGCCTCCCAAGGCTCAATCTGCCATTTCAGAGTGCGCCTGCCTCACCCACTTGTGGCTTGCACAGGAGGTGACCATCCCAGGACAGGTACAGAGGGCTGGGGAGCAGCCTGTCCCAGCCCTGCTGCTATGCTGTGTGCCCTCGGCTGCCCCTAGCCCCCTTCTCTGCAGTTCTCAGGCGCCTGAATTGCCGCAGACTGCAGCCCTCACTATAGCGGATATGGCAGGCAGTAAGGTGGGGTGGTTTGCAGGACCAGCTCATCTGTATACCTGTACCCTGTACCGCCGCACATGTCACGGTCCCCTTGCCATTTGCCTGGTGTGGCGGCCCTCACTCCTGTACCTCTCTGTGTCCTGAGCCCTGTGCTGGTGCGGCATGGGTGTGGAGGCCATGACCACAGAGCCATTGGTGGGCATCATGTGTGTTTGTGGGGTTCATTTTTATTTTGCTGGGACTTTGTCAACTTTTTTTTTCTTATTTATTGATACATTTTAGGTATACAATATGCTGACATTCATCCTTGGAGATTTGTACCTTTACATCACATACCTTGGTTCTTATGTTTTTCCCCATTCCCCTGCCTTCACTTCAATCCTTCCACCCCTCCTTATTTACAAAGACTTTGTTTCTATTTTTTCATCTTCTCATATTAATTCCATTCCCTTTCCTTCCTTTCCCCTGCCCCTCCCACTTTCCCTTTGCATCTTTTCTTCCTATTTCACATTATCTATTGTATGTTTTGGACCTTATGTACACTCTCAGTTTCTCATATCAGCAAAACTATTCCTTACACGTGTGTCCTATTTATTTCAATGAAGAGTATTGCCTCAATGTATATCTGTTTAGCTGTAAATGCCTCTAATTTCTTATTCTTTTTGTTTTTGGTACCAGGGATCAAACTCGGGTCTTTGTGCTTGCAAGGCAGGCGGCGGAACCACTGAGCTAAATCCCTGGCCCCAATTTCTTATTCTTCATGGCTGAATAGTACTCCATTTTATACAAAAACACATTTTCTTTTGGTTTTTTTGAGACGGGGTTTTACTATGTAGTTGAGACTGACCTGGAACTCACTGTGTAGCCCAGGCTGGTCTCGAACTCACAGCGATCCTCCTGCTTCAGCCTCCCGAGTGCTGGGATTACAGGCGTGCACCACCACGCCCGGCAAAACCACATTTTCTTTATCCATTCTCCAGTTGATGGGCAATTGGACTGTTTCCATGTTTTAGCTATTACAAACTGCCACTATGAACATGGGTGTGCATATATCACTGTGGTATGATACTTTTAATTCTTTTGGGAAGATACCCAGCAGAGGAATAGCTGGGTCAAATGGGACCTCCAATCCTAGTTCTTTGAGGCATCTCCACACTGATTTCCACAGTGGTTGCACCGGTCTGCACTCCCACCGGCAGTGGAGCAGGGTTCCTCTTTCCCCATGGCCCCACCAGTATTTGTTATTGGTTGATTTCATGATAGTAGCCATTCTTTTTGAGGTAAACTTTGTAAACTTTTACTTTGGGAGGACTTGGAATGGGAATGCCAGGAACCAGATAGAAAATAGAAGACAGTGACCTTCAGAAGTAAAGAGGGCATTGGTGGGAGGATTCTGTTTGAATTTAGAGAAGCTCACCGAGTGATTAGTTACAGGGGCAGGAGCTATGGCAAATGTAATTTCCACCTTGAAATTATTATTCTTAAATCCTGGATTTCTATAAGCTTTGAAAGAACAGGCGTAGCACCTGATACGTGTCATAGGCATCTGACCTGCATTTTTGGGGGTGGTCATAAACATGAAGTATCCCGCTGGGCATGCACTGTCCCTTGCCCGGGACGTGATCCTTGGTGACTGTCCACTGTCCCTCTTACCCATCTCTGCAGTCCCGGCAAGCTCAACATGACTCTGTGGCCTCATACCAGCCTGAGGGCCTCTGTCGGGATGGCCCGGAACTAGGTACCTCCTCCTACCTCTTCCTTGTGCCAGACAGTGTCACCCTCCCTGAGCCCTGGGCTCCTTGGCTCTAAGGAGGATAGGAATCCCCTGTAGTGTGCCATGTTCTTGTGCATCTCCCTGTGGTAAGCACAGTCCCCATGGTCTCTCCCTGTAGCAGAGGCTGCCTCATCCTGCAGGCCTGAGCTCTGCTTCGCTTCACACCGTGGGTCACATAATCACAGGTGAATGGTGGTAATCCAGAACTTTTGTTTTCTTATTTTAGAACAAACTTACGATGTTGGACATCGCATCAAATAGAATAAAAAAGATTGAGAATATCAGTCATCTAACAGAGCTGCAGGAGTTCTGGGTAAGTTTACACCTCGGGATTGGTAGTGCTGTGGCTAAGCAGGTCCCGCTGACATAAGGCCTCCAGTCCTGTGAGCCCTGGTGCGGTGTGGCCAAGCATGTGACGAGATGTGGGGCAGTTGGGGCTGCCTGGGTTTGGTGTGTCTGTGTCCTTGCTTCTCAGTGCAAGCCACATGGCAGCATCTGTAAGAGTCGCACATCCTGCTCAGGATCACAGGCGGCCCCGCCATGCCCCAGAGGCAGGGTATGCCTGGAACCGGTTCCAGTGAACACGTAGAAAGCCCGACCTGTGTGTGTGCAGGCCAGGGAACTGTTGCTTGACCGAAAGGCTTCAGACCAGAGGAGGGGTGCATTTATGTAGGACAGCCACATCCCAGTGCTGTGGAAAGACTTGGGGTGGTGTTTGCGGGCACAGCCCCTCGGGAACCCGTCATCGTGATATGGCTCTGGGGTACACTGCGGAGCCAGTGGGACAAGTCAGGATGTGAAAGTGGCCTTTGGAGGGTGACACTGGCTCGGTGGCTCAGTGGTGTGAGTGGCCTGGCAGTGAGCCTGCCACTCAGACTGCAGCCCTTGCTGGGGCACACACCTGCACAGGTGCCACACTGCATCCCAGCACTCTGGGAGGCAGAGGCAGGAGGACCACAAGTTCCAGCGTAGCCTGGGAAAATTAGGAAGACCCTGTCTCAAAACTAGAAATGAGCTGGGGATATAGCTCAGTGCAGAAGCCCTGGTTCAACCCTAGTGCCACAGAAAGCAAGACCCCACCCCCTCACACACCGGTGTCCTCACCTGGTGTCACAGCATGAAGCAGCCTCGGAAGGGGGGTGTCCCAAGGACCAGTGGTGGAGGGCAGGAGTCTCGGGTTCAGGAGGGTGGCCTCTGACCTGTGTGCCACAGCTAGATTCAGTCCCAGCCTTTGGGACAGCACTGAGCTGATTTGTAGGATATGGAGCCTTGCACCTGTGGGAGGGAGGCTTTCCAGCCCAGTTCTGGTATGAATGGATCCAAGGGACAGCAAGCGACAGGAGGGTCTTGGGGTGAGGGAGACCCATGGTGACCTGCACCTTGGAGTCAGGTCCTGGGATGGGGCATCAGGGCTGCCCTCTTACTGCTCCTCTGCGTCCCCAGATGAACGACAACCTCCTGGAGAGCTGGAGTGACCTGGACGAGCTGAAGGGTGCCCGCAGTCTGGAGACTGTGTACCTGGAGCGCAACCCCCTACAGAAGGACCCGCAGTACCGGCGAAAGGTCATGCTGGCCCTGCCATCTGTTCGGCAGATCGACGCCACCTTCGTCAGGTTCTGAATCCACTGGCTCCTCACCTGGCCCCTCTCCTCACAAGAACTTCCCGGCCACGGTTTTTTAGTCCACCTGTTGCTCCTGGCATCGTCATTCTCAACAGTCACAACCCCACGGCAATAAAAGGCACTGATGGTAGCTAGTGCGTGTGATACAGTGTGCCATAGAGGCACCGGTGCATTCATCCTCGTCACGCGGTCCCTGGCAAGTGGTGGGCAACGCTGCGCCTGTGGGAAGAGCACAGCTCTTGTGGCTGGCTGAGCCCTGGTCTCAGAGGAAGGTCATGGCTGTCTGTGTGAGTGACATGACATCTGGGTGTGCTTTAGGGACCGTGCTGGGGGTCGCAGCAGGCCCTCGGGTCCTAGGGTGTAGGTGTGAGCAGCCTTGACCTGCAGTGGCTGCGCTGTGGGTCTCAGTGCCAATTGTGAGGAGGTTGTGTACATTAAAAGCGAAGCCCTGGGCTGAGGGGTGGTGCGCAGAGCTGTCATGAGGAAGGATGGCCCCCACACTCCTGGCTGCACCCCGGCCTGAGTCAGGGCTGCATGCAGCATGCTGTGCCCACTCTGCTTCATTTTGCAGCACCTGGGAGACACCAGGGTCTGGTTCTAGCACAGGCTGCAGGCATCCCTTGGGGCTCGAGTTTCCCCATGTCCCAGGGCCCCCAGAGTCTTTCCACTTCCAGAAATAGCTGCACAGACTTGGAGCCCTCACTGCCACCCATGGCAATTTCTTAAGATCCAACCAGATTTCAACACCTTGTCCACCTCCACACTGCAAGCTTCCGGGGACCACACCTCTCCAGGTCACTGGGCTGGTACCTGGGGTCTGCTGCTTACCCTGTGGCCAGCACTATGGGGCTGGGATCGAAGACCACTCCAGGGTCTAACCCTCTCTGGACAGACAGACCTGGATCTGTGGAGCAGCCGCCTGTCAAAAAGCAAGTGAAAAGCAAAGCTGGCAAGCCTGCGCTTGGCCCCAACCTTCCACCCATGGCAACCTTTTTGGTCTGGGGGTGGAGAAAGATGGTCCTAGGCATGACAGGCAGAGACTCAGCCGCAGGTGCCCTGTGGAGAGCAGAGCAGGAGACAGAAGGGAGGGGGAGTGGTGACAGGAACAGCACGGCAGCCAGGAGGAGAGGAGTGCCAGTCTGTAGACAGGGTGGGCTAGGGGAAGGAGCCCTCAGAGCATCCCAGTGAGGCTAGACAAGGTGTACCTGAGCACCCCACCCTCTGGAGGCTGAGCCCAGGACACAGGTGTGTGGCTGCAGCAGGGAACGGGAACCTCTGCTATGGCAACCTCAGATGTGGGACGGGCAGAGTGAAGAGCAGTTGCTGTTGTGGTGAGTCCGCACTGGGAAAGGCAGCTTGGACAGTGCCAGCTTTCTCCGGAGAGCAGCGCCCATGACCAGTGAGGACTGTGGGTTCCAGCCCTGAGGCGGTGTTTCCTGAAGGTTCTATGCATGCTGGACACAGCTCCAGAGACCTGGGAGGGCCGCTCACAAGGAGCAGGCAGAGGCTGTGCTGGTTTCTCACAGCAGCAGCAGAACCAACCGAATCTGCCCCAGCACCCATCCAGGGCCTTCAGAGCCTGGTTCCTGGCACAGCACCGAGCAGCGGCTGTGAACAACCTCCCTTTCCCTTCCTCACCAGATGGCAGAGGTACCTTGTCCTCAGCTTCCCATGGGGGTCCTGACCCCCACGCACGTCCAGTTCTGTCCCATCCTGCTCAGAACGAAACGCAGGGACCTTCACACAGGAGCACCAGGAAGGTTGGAAGTGAAGCTCCTGTGCAGGGCCCTTTCTGCTGACCGAGTGGTGACCACAGGGCCAGCTGACTGTGCCTGGCCCTCAGCAGACCCCCTCAGGCATGCGGGTGCAGAGCAGAGCAGCAGAGTGAGGGCTACCCCTGCACCCCATCACCCACATCTATGGGTAGAGACTTCTCAGCAAGGGCCCCAGGATCTCGGTTCTGCCACACACCCCGAGGTGCCCACTGGGGAGACAAACAGTGATGCAGGTGGAAAATGGCTTGGGTGGGTACAGTGGGGTCCGGAGATGGATGCCTTGCTCAGCTCTGTCCTCTGTCCCAGCCACAGTATGAGCTTCAGGTCAAATGGGGAAGAGGTGGGGAGGGCAGCAGGGATGCTGATGACCTGCTCAGCGGAGAGCTCATCACCACTGGGGAAAAATCAACTCCCTCAAGGTGGCTGCTCCTGCTTGGGTGTGGGGAGCCCGTGGCCAGGGACTGCAGGGTGGGGGGCCACTACCGCATGCTTCTGCATGTGGCTCAGGTCAGGACAAGACATGGTAACGACAGGCATTGGCAGTCAGCTGAAACCACTGAATTACACTCTTCTGTGTCGTCAGCCATGAGCGATGACCAGGCTGGTACAGGCATCTCTTCCTGAGCAGTGTGCCCACTGGAGGGGGACAGGAGCCTGGCCCCAGGAAGACACAGACAGGAAACAAGGGCAGACACCTAAGAGAAGTCAGAGCTTGGCCAGCAAAGCTGGCGAGGGCCCTGGGGAGGGGCCCAGGAGAAGAGGAGGGAGGAATACACCTGGGCTGGGACTAGGACAGGAGGAGCTGGGGACCTAGCTGGGAAGCGTCCCAAAGGAGGAGTCCTGGATGCTGTGGGACCCTGGGCTCCTCTGTCGATCCCTAAGGTGGGAGTTGGACACAGAAAGAGAGGACAGTAAGGAAGTAGAGGTAGTCGGTCAGATGAGGGTTCCAAAGGGGAACAGAAGGGCCTGGCAGTCACAGTGAGGACTCGAGAGGACAGGTGGGTGGGCAGCAGATAAAGCTGCCTCTGGCTGGGAACCACAGAGCTGGCCTTACCCCCAGGTGACTCTAGGTATGACTCAAAGGATTGCAGCAGAAGAGGCTGAGGGACAGGACAGATAGGCTCAGCCACGCACCTAAGCAGGGACAGCGGTGGGCATGAGGTGGACCTGGAGGAGGAGGGCTGGGCCCCATCCTGCACAAAGGTCAATGACAGAAAGCAGCAGAGCTGCACAGCAACCACAGAACCCTGGCCCATGCTCAGCACAGGCTGTGCACTGCATAGCGCCTCTGTTTATCCCTGTGAATGAAGCGGCCAGGCCTGCCCAGTAGACTGCACTGAGGGACAGATATCGCTTTCCCTGCCACACACCACAGACCTGCCCTGAGGTGGAGCCTGCGGCTGGAGCTGCCCCAGTCTCTGAGCAGAGGAGCTACTGGGCGCAGTTTTGCCTGTAGGAGGATAGGCAGAGGATGCTGCCTGGGGTGCAGCAAGAGCCCAGAACCTCCTTTCCAAACAGACAGCACCTGTTCAGGAGCTGGGAGCCACTGCCTGGGCAGAGCCAAGGATAGAGCCCTCATACTCCTGCCCTGCTGGCCCAACTGCCACAGAGGCCGGGCCTGGCCGGTGCTGGGATCCTGGCCTTATCCTCCGAGGCCTCTCCCTGAAGCCGCCATGCCAGGGAAGAGCCAGTCCCAGATGCCTGTGGAAGTGGGCAGGCTGAGGCAGCAGTGTCCCAAAAACCCTGGACATGGAGCCACATAGGGCCTGGGTGGGTGTGAAGGGACAGGCATGCGTGTGGCTCTGGGCAAGTCCCCAGCCCTCAGGAACCTCAGTTCCTCCCAGTCCAGCAAGTCCACCACGGAATAGATGACACCTGAGGCCCTCAGTGCTAGGCCTGTTTAAAGCCACCTCCTAAGCCATGACTCACTGTACACCATGTACCCACCCCATTGCCAGGGACAATGATACTGTTCTCTCCAGGCAGAGACCCAGGGGCCCTGGGCACCGTGCCCTCCTTGCTGGGTCCTGGCCCAGATCCCCCAGCAGTACAGCAAAGGCAGGTGGCTTCACAGGGCCCACCTCATCCCCTTGGCTCTGACAAGCCCCTCACAGGTGCAAGAGAAAGAGGCTGCACATCAAGCCCACCTTTCTGGCCCTCCCTGCCCTGTCCTCCCATGCAGAGGGGACATGGTCCAGGGCAGGGAACTCCGCCCTCACTAGAAGGACAGACAGGTGAGCAGACATGCCCCGACAGGGGCTGGCTCCTCTTGGGGAGGTGGCCACACACCTGCAGGGATGGTCCCCATCCCATCCCACCACCCTGTCTTGTCAGCTGTAAGGTGGGTTGGCTGGGCTGCAGGGTGACCCATATGTCTCCTCTGTTGCTGGAAGACTGGTTGATGCAGGAGCAGCTGCTAGCCTAAGGAAGGACAGCACCATGCTCTCCTCCAGGTGGAGGGGAGCGGCTCCTACAGGAGTAAGGCCCGCTCCCTACAGGTGAGTGGCCAGGCAGTGGGGTCCCCTGTCCCCAGACCCCAGTCTCCAGACCCCCAGGTGGCTGTGAAACTTGGGAGCCCTCCAGGGGCTGCACCTTACCCTGGCCTGGAGCCCCCGAGGGGTGCTGTGTCCACCTGCATGCATTCTGGCCTCGGCCCACCTGGAGGCCACAGGAACAGGCAGAAGTGTTGGTGTTTAGAAGAAAAAAGGGGAAGGGATCAGAAACCAGAGGCAGGGCCAGGGTCAGGTCCCTCCAGTGCCCTGCAGCTCAGGGACACCAGAGACAATGTTCAGACAGGCAGAGTGCAGCTCCTGACACTCTGAGGAGGTGACACTTGCACACATAGTGGTGGTCCCAGAAGTAGTGGGGTCTTTGTTATGCCCTGGATGTTTTATTGCCTGAGAATACAAAATTAACCCCAAGAAAGAGGGACAGTACTGAAACATTACTGAAAATCTCTGCGGTAGGCTCCAGTCTCCTGCTCAGTGTATGATGAAGGCCTGAGAAAAAAATTAATACTAAAAGACAGAACCAAGAGAGAGAAAGCAGGGTGCCAGGATGACCAATGCCAGTGTAAGTGACAAAGGCACTGGCCAGTCCAAGCCACTGATTCTTATTAGTAATCAACTGGGGTAAAGGTGAACTATGTGTAAGGGCAGGACTGCATGTAAAGATGTGTGGTCTCTGTGGTTTCTATGGAAACTAATGAAAGCAAGGCTCATAAAGGACAAGACAAATTAGGAACAGAATAGATAAAATATATGGGTGTAATTAGAACATTGTCCTTCTAGTTAAGAAAGTTTTACTTGTGGGAACAGAATTTGGATGCCAGTTATTCTGACCTCGGCAC